GGCAGACGCTTAACCATCTGAGCCACGCAGGCGCCCCAAGTAAATTTATTAATGAGTCATTACCACTTAGGAAAAGCCTTACTCCGTGGAAGATGGTTGATGGGGGTTACTTCATAGTAAATTTGGAGAATGAGAAGGTAACTTTAACAAAAGCACTATTGTGTTGCTAGCGCTGAACTGATCCTAACTGTAATTTCTAATAAATGGTCAGGGACTTACTAAGGCTGAGATGCCACAGGCTCACAACCAGTGTTTTGAAAGAGTAGTGATATAAAAGATACAGATCCTGCTCTAACTCCTCCCTGTATGTGGGACACAGATTCAGACCCCAGGAGCTTACAGCTTTGTATAGGTAAAGGCTATCCTTGATTTCAGTGTTTGCCCATTCTCTGGGATATTTAAAGTCAGTTTTATTTTTTAACTTTTTAAGATTTTATTTATTTGAGAGAGAGCATGAGATGGGGGAGAGTCAGAGGGAGAAGCAGACTCCCCGCCGAGTAGTTAGCCCGATGCAGGACTCGATCGCGGGACTCCAGGATCATGACCTGAGCTGAAGGCAGTCGCTTAACCAACTGAGCCACCCAGGCATCCTAAAGTCAGTTTTAGAGCTAATTAATCATTTTTAATGGTTATTTATAGTTAATGCCTGGTCTCTGGTAAACTTTTTTTTTTAAGATTTTTTATTTATCTTTGTGTGAGAGAGCCCGTGAGCGTGCGCACAAGTGGGGGAGGTGGAGAAACAGAAATAGACTGCTGAGCAGGGAGCCAATGCAGAACTGGATCCCAGGACCCTGAGATCATGACCTGAGCCGAAGGCAGGTTCTTAACTGACTGAGCCACCCATCTGGTAACCTCTTAAGCCCGCTTTGTGCCCAAATAGGGCTGCAACCATTCACCCTCAATTTGATGAGTATGAAAATTGTGCAGAAAAACTGAGCAGAGGCTTAAAACACAAAACAACTAATATCAAGATTACATTTATTGAGCACTTCTTTTCTGGCTTTTTACCAAGTCTGAGCTGATATGGAAATTTTCATTTACTGTCCTGGAATTTGCCCAACACTGTGATGCAGTAGAAAAAGAAAGAGGTTCTTAGTGTCTGCTCTGTATTGCTTGTTGTTTAGTACAATCATTCATTAAATATTTGAGTGCCGGCTATGTGCAAGACACTTTCAGGATGCAGGGATTAAAACAGACTTGATCCTTGGGGTCCCCCGGGTGGCTCAGTCCGTTGATTTCAGCTCAGGTCATGATCTCCTGATGAGACCGAGTCCTCCCTGCCCGCATCCCCTCCCCCCCCACCTCTGCACCCAGCGGGGAATCGGCTTGGGGTTCTTTCCCTCTGCCCCTCCCCCCCCAAGAATAAATAAATCAGTCTTTAAAAGGATAAAAAAGAACAGACGATCCGTTAAGGAGTTTTGATGAAACACCAAGAAGGAACTAATGGGGACTCCTGAACAGAATGGGGGTAGGCCCCCACTTCAAGAGGGCAACCAGGTTACTTTCCCTGTTTATTCATCTCTAGGATGAGGTAGTTAGATGACCTTCAGGACCTGTTAGGGCTCAGAAATTCATCAACAGCTGGAAAGTTGCTGTTCCTGAAAATGCCCCAAGTTCATTGGGTGCCCCTAGACCTGTGGAGACATCCATAGGAGACTAAGTTCAATTCCTGGTAGAATGCCCTTTATTCCTTTTGGTTTCCCTCTCTGCATTCCTCTCCCCTTGCTTTCTCCTGTGCAAAGGTGTGGGGAAGCTGGGGGTGATGGCTATCCCTAATACCTCCTATTACTGCTGGGTGGCTCCTCCCACCGCCCACCCCCCACCCCCAGAGTGTATCTTTTTTTTTTTCTTTAATATTTTATTTATTTATTTGACAGAGCACAAGCAGGGGGATCGGGAGAGGGAGGAGCTCCCTCAGCAGGGAGCCGGACGTGGGTCTCCATCAGCTAGGACCCTGGGATCAATGACCTGAGCTGAAGACACACAATCAACACCCACGTGCCCCACCCAAAGTGTATCCCAACACAAAACAGGAGCTGGCTTAGGCTTCCCCTGGGAGGGATATATCCCTGACTTGGGGGGATGTTGATAATGCATGAAGAGCAGACACCCTGGGACTGTTGTTACCTTCCCTGCCTTGGCCCCGGTCCCACCTCCATATGTTCACCCTTGGAAGGAAAAGGCTTCTAGAAAAGCATCCCAGGCTTGTAAACCTCTGCCAAGTTTGAGTCTGGGAGGCGCTCGTGAGACATTAAGCCGTGGTTTTGGCTTCTGGCCAGATATCTGGCAAGCTGGGACCTCTACGAAGATTGGTAGGCACACTAGGGGCGGGGACGTTGCTTCTGGCGGATGTGACAGAGTGGGCCTGAGGGAGAAAAGGGGAACACAGCAAGCCCTACCAGGAAACCCAAACTGAAACAATTTCGGGTTTATCCAGCTCCTAGGGAGACCAGGAGGCGACCGAGGAACGGCGCCGGGCACTGGTTGCACACTTCTGTTTACACCCCAAAGGGAGCCTCTACTTGGCAAGCTGTAGAACCTAGATTCCCTTCGCAAGATCCATGCGACCAGCGCCTGCTACGCTGTGCTTGCAAGGGTTCTCTTGTCCCATGATCTTTGCTTATAGCCACCCGTGTGCCTTCACCTGGATCGGGGGGGGGACGTCGACTTTCAGACTCCGGGGTGGGTAGGAATGGGCATCGCGTTGGCAAGGGCAGGGGCAGCCATTTTGAGACCAGATGAGCACACAAGAGACCATATTGAGAACTCTGGTTGCCTGGGGCCGCCATTTTAAATATGGGGCTAGCTCGGAAGCCCTGTACGGTAAAACCCAGTGACGTGGGGCTGCCATATTGGCGCTGGTCCCATGGCGGTGGCCATCTTGGAAAAGGGCCCGCTGTGGGCGCGGCCATCTTAGAAGTAAAACCGGCCCCTTCGCAGGAACTGGACCCGAGCTCCTCCCCTCCGTTCCAGAGTTCCTCGGCTGCGATTACCCTCGGAATCCCTCCCTAGATCTAACCTGTTCGGTCTGTTTTCACTTTCACTTGTGTTCAGTGCTTTCGCGCGCGCGTGTGCATGCGTGTGTGTGTGAGTGCTCTCCGTAGCCTCTGAGTGTCTGTTTTAACTTAATTCTTCCACTTGAGACGCCCTCTCGCGCCCGCCATCCCCCCAATCCCGGCGATCTCCGATCCTAGACAATGTCTAACCTGATTTGACTGGCCCTATTCTTGGGCTATGGCAAGCCTTTCACCTCCCGCACACACTCCCAGATCTACAGACTGATGATCCTCTCCCCAAGAACTCTTAACACAGGAGCTGTCCTCTGAGACTCTGGATGACTTTATTCTTCAAATGGCTTTACCCTTCTCATAGCTCCAGGTGAGACTGAGAGCAAGCACCCGGCCCATCCCTCTCTCCATTGTCTGAGCGGGTCACAGAGAGAAGCCGGCAGGACGCTGGCAGAGTCTGAACGGCCCTTCTGGGGATGGAGCTAAGGGGGCCCTGGGTCAGGGGGTACATGGGGTCCGCCGCAGTGGGCGAGGAAATGGGGTCGACAGATGGTGAAGGAGAGCTTTGTGCTTCAGATAACCTCATAGGGTTGGACAAGGGCTAGGGATGGGATGCAGGGACCCTCAGGGGCTCACGACAGTTACTGACCTAAGGAAGGGCCTAGGAGAGGGAAAGGTTCAGAGCTTGTGCCGAGGGACAGGGCAACTCAGAGGAGGGCACAGAAGAACTTCTTCTCCCGGAAGGGGTTCTCCGAAGTGGGCACAGGGGTGATGAGGGGATCCTCACAGGCGTGGGCATCACAGTAAGTCATCAAGTCTGCTGCTGCCTTGGACACCTGGGGCACAGCCAGGAGGGGAATTGTTAGCCAGATCCCCTGAGAGGGACTGCAGCCTCCCTCCCCAAATGGGTTATCTTTTGCCATCTTTAGGGCTTCTTTAAGACAGTATTCTCTTCCCTCATCCCCCACAGAGACCAGGGGACAGCTGTCCTTACAGAGCCAGAGACTCCTCCCATGATCGCAGGGAGTCCAGGAAAGAAAACAGCTCTTAACCTGAGATTTGGGGACCTACAGCACAACTGGGCCAACTAATGGGACCCAGGGTCCGCCCACCTTTATCCGGCACAAGCTGGCTTCAATCTTAAGCTGTTCCACCATCTTGCGGGCTTGCCCAATACTCATAGTGCTGTTCACAGGGGTCTCCCCTTTCATCCTGGAGAAAAGAGAGGGATAGCTCAGAGCATGATGTGGGGGGTGAGGGGCTGCATAATCTCATCTGAAGACACCCCCCCCCCCGTGCTCCTTTTTCATCAGTCTTTACAAGACTGGGGTCATGTGCCCCAATATATTGTTCCTCTTATCCTCATCCTCCAGTGGCCTTTCCCATCCCCGTCTTCCTGGGCTAAGGAAATGGAGGGGGTGGGATGAAATGCCCCCCACACTCCCACATGGCCTGGGCCACAGATCATTAGGCATAAAAACGATTTAAGGCTTTTCAGCCCTTCCAGCCATGTGTGTTCCCAGCTTTGAAAGCCTCAGCCAGAAAAAGCCCCGCCCTGATGAGGACACATAACACCCCCTGCCCCCTTGAGCCCCAGGGGGAAAAAAGCAGGATCCTCCCTACTCACCTGAGGCCACAGGCAGCGGCAGCCCTGGGGAGTACTCAGTGGGGTGCACAAAACCTGCCTGAGATGGGTGCCCCACCTTGCAGGGAGTTGCAGCTGAAAGTATCTGCTGCAGCAGCAGAAGCAGCTAATACAAAGAAGTCCACTGGGGAGGTCAGGTCAGAGGTCTGTCGAGGGCTGGACCCAGTTCCTGCAGCTCAAGCACTGCCCAGACGCTGGTACCTGAAGGATGAAGGATGCTAGAAGGAGCTGCTCAGATCCTGGAGCATACCAACTGCCGGCCAGTGGGGGAGCCTGGCTGCTGTCTGCAGCCCCTACGCACACCCCCACCGTGAGCTGTCTCACTGGATGCCCTTCCCCCATTGCAGGCATTCTGAACCTGGACTAGGACGGAGCTGGAAGGAGCTGAGGCCCAGACAGACTCCCCCCCCACCCTAAATGGGGTGGTGTGGACCTGTGACATCGCCCGCAGTGGAGTCTGTACCGGTTGCGGGGGACCCTGCTCATTTGAAAATCTGACATCAGCTGGGCAGTCACCCCCCTCCTCCCTCCTCCCTCCGCTCTGACATAGCATGTAGTGCCTGAATCTTCTTTTCTTTCCCGGGGACTCTCCATTCCCTATATCCAGGAAAATGTGATGAGCTACAGGTATCAGCTTCTAGATCACCAACCACTTCATGTTCTAGCCACAAGTGACTCGAGTGGAAGATCCGGGGGCAACAAGGTACGTCAGGAAGATGCCTACAGAACAAGGAGAAGCTGGGGGAAAAGAGGTGTGCAGATACCAGATCAAAGAATCGGACAAAGAAGAGGTAGGGGGCACTGTGGGGAAAGTCTTTGGATGTTTCTTGAAATAGATGAACTCCCAGGGTGGATTTTGGAGGTGGGTACTGGTTTAAGAGATTACATCCCAGGCCTGCAGGGTTGTGCTTGGTGCTGTGTGGAATGCGAAGATGTACACAATATTAACCTTACCCTCTGAGAGATCTTATTTGGGGTGAATAGTCATATATAAAATAGAAGGTACCGTCTGCCAAGATCTAGTGTACATAACGCGCTGCGGGGATTCCGAGGGAGAGTCCAGTTAGGGCCAGAGGAGGTCGATCACATTCTAAATGCTGGGGACAAAACAGGGAGCTGAAATGCTATCACTCTTGTGATAGGGGCCAGCCAGCCGGCCAGCGATGCTGTCTGCCTTGGACGCCTACGAGTCCAAGGAGCTGTAGGAGATAGAAATCAGCGCCAGCTGGATGCCCGCCCCTCTTCCCCTTTGCGGGGGTTTCAATGGCCGGTGGTGAAGGTGTGGGTGGAGGGCCCGGATTGTGGCCTCGAGGGGCAGGCTGAGGGGGATGCTGCTGACTCATAGCGTGCCCTGGGGCCTATCTTGAGGCTTGGAGGGAGGCGCCGGTCCTCTTGGGTCTGGGAAGGGGACCGTAGGGAGGGACCGTAACGCAGCGCGCGGAGGTGGGAAACCCGCCGCCCGGCAGGCCCCGCCCCTTGCGCCGGACCCCGCCCTGGAGTGAGGTCCCGCCCCCCAAGCCACAGAGGCGGCCGGCGGAAGGGGGCGGGGCTTCCACGGGAGGCGGAAGTCCCTTCTCGCCGTTGCCCCAGCAGCCCGCGAGCTGGTGAGTCTGCAGAACAGCGGTGGCTGGCGAGCAGGGTTCCCTGCTGGCGCGGTTAGGTGGGGGCTCCGGACGCCGCGCCCACCGCCAGCCGGAGCGGGTGCTGGCGGGGGGCGGCCGTTGGCAGCAGGACGCCCTGGCCGGCGTCCGGCGCGGCCCTGTTGTCGGGGAGCGAGCGCAGCTCTGGGAGAAGAGGAGAAACTCGGGAGGCAGTTGTGGCCGCGCTTAGGCCGCTGGCTTTGAGTGCGGCTGTATGACCCTAGGCCAGTCGAGCGTTCTCTCGGTGCAGCCACCTGGCGGTGTGGACGCGGTGTCATCATGTGTGTAAAAGCCTTTTAAGGTGCTCATCTTCTGTATTATTATATGTTGTTATGAATGAGTTTCAAGGTGGCCTGTCCCAGAATCAGGTGTCCAAAAGACAAGTTCAGCTGAGTTGTTGGGGCGGTGGGGCCGAAGAAAGCACAGTGAAGGAAAAGGGAACGGGTAACTGGTTGAGAAACGCAATCATCTGGAGAAAAGCCATATGAAACAAAGACTTGGCTGTGTTTGGCTATCTCTGGTTCCTCAAAGCCAGTCCAGTAAGCTTGTCCTTTTTGTCCCCACCTTCCCTGGGAAAAGAGCCATTCTTTCCCCCTCTCTGTCTTTTTCCAGGAACCACCAGCTGCTTCATCCCATGGCCAAGGGTGGCGTCCAGGTGGCAGAGCAGCTAGGAACTCAAGGCCTGAACCTGGGGCCAGACACTCTGTACTCCCTGCCATGGTCAATGACCCACCAGTACCTGCCTTACTGTGGGCCCAGGAGGTGGGCCACATCTTGGCAGGTCGTGCCCGCAAGCTGCTGCTCCAGTTTGGGGTGCTCTTCTGTACCATCCTCCTCCTGCTCTGGGTGTCTGTCTTCCTCTATGGCTCCTTCTACTATTCCTACATGCCCACAGTCAGCCACCTCAGCCCCGTGCATTTCTACTACAGGTGAGAAGGGTCTTCTACCAAAGTAGAGGAATTCTTTGAGAGAATTGCTGTCAGGGCCCTTAGAGCTTATTCAGTTCAACCCCCTCATTTACAGAGGAGAAAATTTGAGCCTTGTGTGTTTATATGACTTCTTACCTTTCACAGCCCAAGGCTGAGGAAGTTCTGGGTTGGTAGGGCTCTAAGGTCCTAGTTCTACCTCTGGTTACTGAAATTTGTTAAAAAGAAGAAGAAAATTCCCCTTTTAGACTGTCACTGTGAGGATCAGTTCTGTTTGGGTTGGGTCAGATCTCGCTCAGGGCCACTGTAGACCTCTTAACCAACCAGATCCCTTGGGTCATCTCAGAACTAACTTGGCCTTCAGTAGAGAAGGTATTAGGAAAGCAGCAAGTTACCTTGTACGTGACTTTCTCCCACTCCCGATAAACCCACACAATAGAGATTATGGAAACACAAGGTGACAGGGTACATAAAGTCCCAGAGTCCTGCTTCTCACCTGAGGCCTCAGTTCCTTCTGATTTTACAGACCTTGCCAGATTCTCTCCCTTTCTCTTAACAGTGGCAGTAGGACCAATCAAGAGATGCTGATAGGGGCATTGTTATCAATGGTCCAGAGTCATTTTTTTTTTCCTGTCTTCAGTCCCTGACCATGAACTGTACTTTCTTTTTTTTTTTTTAAAGGATTCTTTTTTTTTTTTAAAGATTTTATTTATTTATTTGACAGAGAGAGACACAGCGAGAGAGGGAACACAAGCAGGGGGAGTGGGAGAGGGAGAGGGAGAAGCAGGCTTCCCGCCGAGCAGGGAGCCCGATGTGGGACTCGATCCCAGGACCCTGGGATCATGACCTAAACCGAAGGCAGATGCTTAACCGACTGAGGCGCCCCATGAACTGTACTTTCTTAAGTCATAGCTACTTAAACTTTTAGGAGGCATGATCTCATGAAAACTTTGGCCCTTCTGCTGTAAAAACATGTATGCACGGGGGCACCTGTCTGGCTCAGTTGGTAGGGCACATGACTCTGATTCTTGATCTCAGGGTCGTGAATTCAAAACCCATGTTGGACGTAGAGCTTACTAAAAAGTGTGTGTGTGTGTGTGTATATATATATATATATACACACACACACACATAAATGCACGCCCATGTGTAATTTTGCTTACAAGTTGAGATTTGTGAGCCTCTTAAAGACCATCTGTGGGGTCACCTGGGTGGCTCAGTTAAGTGTCTGCCCTCGGCTCAGGTCATGATCCTGGAGTCTCGGGATTGAGCCCCATGTCAGGCTCTTCGCTCAGCAGGACGCCTGCTTCTCCCTTTCCCTCTCTCGCTCACTCTCAAATAAATAAAATATTTAAATTAAAAAAAAAAAAAAGACCATCTTTAGATTCCTTGGGAGGAATTTTCTCAAACTAGGCCCCAGAATCTGGGGATAGGACCCAGGAATCTGCTTTGTTGTTGTTGTTTTTTGTTTGTTTTTGAGAGAGAGAGAGCATGCGTGCACGCCCGTAAGTAGGTGGGAGGGCAGAGGGAGAGAGAGAATCCCAAGCAGAGTCCGTGCCCAGTGGGGAGCCCAACAAAGGACTTGATCCGAAGACCCTGAGATCATGACCTGAGCCGAAATCAAGAGTTGGAGCTTAACCGACTGAGCCACCCAGGTGCCCCCAGGAATCTGCATTTTTATCAAGCTCCCCGAGTGAGTCTTTAGAAACACTTCAATCTGAAACTATTCAACTAAGTGTTCATTGAATCCCGTGTAAGAATTTCTGCTCTAACGAGAGGAAATAATCTGAAGTAGCAAGAAGAGAATGAAAGAATTGTTCAGGTGTCTTGAATCTCCTGGCTGCATTTCTTTTCCATCTCTCTCTGACAGAGAGAAGGGTACCTGTTCTGGAAGAAGGGATGGGGGACAAGAGGGAGCCCTAGGGGGCCAAGGAGGTGTACGGACAGGTAAGGCAGACTCTATAACTTAGTGGAGTATCATCCCCATTCTCATTTAGGACTGACTGTGATTCCTCCACCTCCTTACTCTGCTCCTTCCCTGTTGCCAATGTCTCGCTGGCTAAGGGTGGACGTGATCGGGTGAGTATGGGAGCTGAAGAGACGTTTCATTAGCGCTTTGAAGACTTGAAATCGGAGGGATTGAAAAGACCTGGCGAGCAGGGATTGAGTAATAGAGACTCAGAGGAAGGCTCTCAAGGAAAGGGAGGTTAAAGAAAAAAGTCTGAACCGTGTCGCAGGCATCTGCCTGTCGCAGATGTTAGCAGTGCCCTTCTCAGATTGTTTCAGGCAGGAGATGTGTTTTAAACTTCAGTGAACCTAAATCTGCTATTTCACTGGACGAGGATGGAATCCACCCAAGAGTTTTGAAAGCCTGTATGTGAAATTATGAAACTCTTGACAAATCTGTGTCATCTGCCACTACAGAGGGTGTGTGCTAGGGGAGGGGCCAGATGCCAGTAGGACCTCAGCGAACCCGGAAGCCCTGGGAAATGCAGAATGGGAGTGCGTCTGTTTATAATAGGCAAGCTGGTGGAGGCTCTGAGAAGAGAGGAGGATCCCTGCATGCTTCAGAGGATCGTTGGAGCATCCACATCGTTTTTGCTCACCAGAGTTGTTTGAGTTGTTAGTCAGCAACGTAATTCATAGTCATCAGTGGGCACACGTACTAAGAATGTTTAAATCATCTGAAAAAAAAAAAATGCTTTTTTAAGTGGTTCATGGGAGGACACTGCCTGACACAGGATAGACCTAAATGGTCACTGAAGGGAGAAGTGTAAGCTGTAGCATCTGGGGGCCTCTGGGATTGGTGTTTAGACTGGCCTTGTTTGGCAGTACGAATAGCCTGCTATGTGTGTCCTGTAACCACTTCCACTTGACCAGGAGGTAGCCATACACCATGAAGAAGACTTACCAGGTCTGAAGAATTGGGTCCCAAATGGATGTAGTGACGTGGAAGGTTGGATATTGTAAGACAGAGATTTATCCTTTTGTTTTATTTTTTTTATTTGAGGTGTGGGGAGCAGACGAAGAGAGAATCTTAAGCAGGCTCCACGCCCAGCTCGGAGCCCGACAAGGGGCTTCGATCTCCCCACCCTGAGATCATGACCTGAGCCAAAATCAAGAGTCGGACGCTCAACCGACTGAGCCACCCAGGCGCCCCGAGATTTATCATTTTAATTCAGCTACTCAGAAGAGGAGTTTGGAGATTATTACAGAATCTTTTGTGAAGATACTGATTCGATGTGCTTTTGTGGCTAAAAATAGTAATAAATAGACTACGTTGAGAGGGAGCTAGAAACAAAGCTACAGTCCAGCTACATACTACAATATGTCTGCCCCTGAGATGGTGCCTACCATTGTGTGGCTGCCTGTTGCAGAGATCCTAATGGTGATTCAGGGAGCCTAAAAATTGGGTGTGAAGCTGCTGGATGAGGAAGGAAGGGAAAGATGAAGGGTGAGGGGAGATCCAGTATCAGGGTCTCCGATCAGGGTAGTCCCTGATAATTGAAGCAGGTTGATCATTTTGCCCATTTACAGTGAACGTTTAGGAAGGAAGGAATAGAAGAAATAATATGTGTATTTTATGTGTAACACTGCTAGAAGATGGGATCCTGCTTTCCAGGAGCTCACAGGATTGATAGAGAAATCTATATGCTGCATTAAGTAGCAAAGTGTAAGACACAGCTTCTGCATTTCAGAAGAATTTGTGAAGAATTTGAGGGATCAGTGTGAGACTGTGGAGATGGCGAGGCTCAAAGTGGACCTTGTAAGGAGGGGTGGACATTGTGTGGGTATGGGGGAACAGAAGGAGAATCTGCCCATCAGATGTGAACAAAGGCATGGAGTCATTCACAAGATTCTGGTGGTCGATTCCGTGGATCCCGTTGGAGGAGATGATGTTTAGACAGAATTACTAGTTTAAAAACCCATATAAAACAGCTTTATTTAGAGAAAACTTACATACCATAACAGTTTGCCCACTAAAAATGTATAGTTCAGTCATTTTTAGTGTATTCACAGAGTTGAGCAGCCAGCACCGCAGTTAATTTTTGAGCATTTTCATCACCCCCAAAAGAAACTCCTACCCGTTAGCTAGCAGTCACTCCACATTTTCCTCCAACCCACTCAGAGAACTACCTATTAAAATGTATCAGGGGCACCTGGGTGACTCAGTCAGTTAAGCATCTGGCTCTTGATTTCAGCCCAGGTCAATGATCCTGAGAAGGGCCCTGAGAGATAGAGCCCCACATCAGGCTCCGTGCTGAGCATGGAGCCTGCTTAAGATCATCTCTCCCTCTCCCTGTGGCCCTCCCCCGCCCTTAAAAAATGTTTCAACGAATTCAGTGAAGCAGCTGGCGTCATCTGGCCTCTTCCAGGGGCTAGAATCTCATGGAATCCATTTTTTCAACAGATAATTCATTCTGAAAATAAGAATCTGTACAAAAAAGACTTTAATAAGTGATTTTCCACCTTTTACCCTAGTGATAGTGCTCAGAGCACCCTCAGCCATATCTGGATTTGGGGGGTGGTTCACTATGGGCTTTTTTTTTTTTTTTTTTAAATCCATTCCCTTTGTTTAAAAACAAAAGCTTTACTCTTGCCCCTGTGATTCTTGTGTATCACCCTGAGGAGGGTTGTGCTCAGATAAGAATAACTGAATAAAGGATTAGAAGAATATAGGAATGGCCAGGAAAAAGCAGGGTATATTTGGTGGCAAATCTTTAACCTTTGGAGGTTAATCCCAGTGAAGAAGCCTTCCCACTAGGAGTCTCGGGGTTCTATCAATAGAAGCAAGGTAAGGGACCCAGAGTGACATAAAGCTGATCTGGAGCCACGGTGACCGGGAGGGGTGACTTTGGAGTTGGTGCACACCGCTACAACTTGGTTAATTAATAATGTAAGGGAAGGCAGGCTGGGCCCAGGGGTATGGCCTCATGGGGACAGAGGCCTGAGTCACAGATGGCCCAGTTGGCAACATGACGGTTCACTTTCGGGAAAAAAAAAAAAAAGCGACACAGCCTTTCTCAGAACAGAGCGGACTCTGATTCAGCCAAGTCACAGGATGCTGCTGATCTCAGAAGTGGGAGGGATCTGGCTACCACAAGAGGGCAGCACCTTCCTGGGATGAGAGACTGAGCGGCCTGCTGCGCTAGCCAGGGGATTGGGGGTGGCAGTGTTTGGAGGGATGGGGGGAGATGGATCAGAGACAGTACAATTTGAAATATATATATTTTTTGAAAAGAGATGGGGGCTACCTTGGGCAGGTGCTGATGTATGGACAGCCGTACCGTGTCACCTTAGAGCTTGAGCTTCCAGAGTCCCCTGTGAATCAAGATTTGGGCATGTTCTTAGTCACCGTTTCATGCTACACAAGAGGTGGCCGAATCATCTCTACTTCTTCGCGCTCCGTAAGTGTTCCTGGCCTGTCTGGGAGGGTGCCGAGGTGACAGCAGATGTCAGAACGTCTGGGTAGGGCTTCAGGAGAAAACGTCCTAGCTCTGAGGTCACAGACTCATCAGGATAGGGAAGAGGAGTCAGTTTACCAAGCCAGACAGACACCCGATATATCTGATGAGCGTGTCCAGCTTTGGGGGAAAGTCTAAGAGTGGAGCCAAAATGGGGTTCTTTAGGGCCCCAAAGATCTGGAATCCTCAGAAACATACCAACTGGGGGGAAAAAAAAAAAAGAAAAATACTAGCTGAGAGACAGCTTCTTTAACCCCTTGGTTACAAAGCATTACTAACGGGGCATGTTAGTAATAGTCCCGTAGCAAGACTAGTTTGGATTAGGTGAAGAAATGTACAGTGCTTATGAGCCCATAGTGGGTCTTCAATAAATACTAAGATTCCATTCTTATATGAATTATCAACAGAGCCACATGATGAAGCAAATCTCTGAATGTCTACATGGAGAAAATTTCAGGCGGTGCACTGAAACTTAGTCTATTCTGGATGGTAGAACTGCTTGGGGGAAAGATCAGAGACCGTGTGGGGCTTAACCTGTGCAGGTTCTTCGAAGAAAGGAATGGAGACATGGTCAGGCAGGACAGGCCTGTTACTCAAGCAGCTGGAATGGTTGGGCCAAGGGTAGGGGGAGCGTGGTAGGAGGTGAAAAGGAGGGAGCGGGGGACCGGAGGAAGAAGCCGGCTTCACAGACGGCTCAGGAACCTCGGTTGAGGGGTGGGTAGGGCTGTGGAAATCGGAGGGGGGGGGTACCTGTCCCCAGCCTCTCCCTCCTGGCCCTGGCAGGTGATGTTGCATTACCGCTCAGACCTGCTCCAGATGCTTGACACGCTGGTCTTCTCCAGCCTCCTGCTGTTTGGCTTTGCAGAGCAGAAGCAGCTCCTGGAGGTGGAGCTCTACTCGGAATACAGGGAGAACTCGGTAAGAGGTGAAGGAAGACTAGAGACCGCTCTCCCCATGAGCCCAGGGTTCTGCCTGAGGAGCCTCTGGGCTCGGTCAGCCACGGAGATGCTGGGAGTGGGCTTCACATTGGGCTGGTAAGCATCGATCGCGGCCTGACCCTCCCCTCCCCTCCGCAGTACGTGCCGACCACCGGAGCGGTAATCGAGATCCACAGCAAGCGCATCCAGATGTACGGGGCCTACCTCCGCATCCATGCCCACTTCACCGGCCTCAGGTGAGGCAGCGCCGGGCAACTCCCGCGGGAGCCGTCCTTCAGTGAAACTAGCTTGCGCTTTCCTGGAAATACTCTCTGCGAAGTGAGGAGGCTAGTGCTCCCCGGTAACCGCCACGCTCTTACCTGCCCCAGGTACTTGCTGTACAACTTCCCGATGACCTGTGCTTTCGTAGGCGTCGCCAGCAACTTCACCTTCCTCAGCGTCATCGTGCTCTTCAGCTACATGCAGTGGGTGTGGGGGGGCATCTGGCCCCGACACCGCTTCTCTTTGCAGGTCACAAAGGACCTCCTCCCCCTCCCCTTCGTGATCCTTTGACTGAGGAGCGGGCTGGGGCGTGGCCAGGGCTGGGCCCCGAGGGCCTAGATCACACTCTGGGCTCCCTCTTTCTCCCGCACAGGTCAACATCCGGAAAAGAGACAGTTCCCGGAAGGCAGTGCAGCGAAGGATCTCTGTCCGTCATCCAGGTAGACATGACGGGAGGGGGGGCGCCTGTGTTACCCAGTATGAAGCTTTAGGCCCTCACGGCGGGGCTGAGGGGCAGAGGGCAGGCTGGAGGAGGTGAGCTTGGCCCCGCTGCCCGGGTGCAGCCGCGGTAGCCCTGCCCCGTCCTCTACCCACTTTGGGGGCACAGGGCCCCAAGGCCAGGAGGAGTCAACCCAGCTGTCAGACATCACAGAGGACTGCGAGAGCCTTGAAGATCCCCCGGGGGCAGGTACGTGCCGCAGCCTGCCCACCCACCCTCCCCAGGAGTCCTCAGTTGTCCCCTTCGGCCTCTTCTTGTCTGACCTCTGCCTTCCCCGTGTGGCTGCAGAGGGTCAGCTCCCTGAGGAGGAGAAAGCAGACCAGCGGCCCTTGAATGGAGAGGAGGAGCTGGAGCCAGAGGCCAGTGATGGTGAGGGGCGCTCGGCGTGCGGCTCTGGGTGGGGTGGGGGCGGCGTGTGCATAAGGGAGGACGTTATATTGGTTGGGGGAGAAGAGACCCTGGTTACTTAATTTCCCATTTGGGATTTTGTTTCTCCCTCCTCTGGCCCAGGTTCGGGCTCCTGGGAAGACGCAGCTTTGCTGACCGAGGCCAACCTGCCTGCCCCTGCCCCTGCCCCTGCCCCGGAGACTCTGGGCAGCTCTGAACCCTCTGTGGGCAATCTCCGACAGCGCCCCACCTGCTCTAGTTCCTGAAGAGAACAGGGCAGAGTCCTGACATTCCAGTCCTTTCTCACCTGACCCCTTCCCCAATAAACTATTTTCATGCCAGTTGCTTGCCTGACTCCTTGAAATGGATTCAGGGCCATTTGAGAACCCTGTGCTCCCCGGGCAGCCTCCCCGCCCCCCTGCATTGGAGGAGGTTGTCTTGTCGGGGGCTGCCTGCCGACGGGGAAGGCCTCCAGACCTGGACTATCCTAGGTACAGCTGTCTCCATTACACAAGCCTAGAAAGTCCAAGGAGAGAAAACCTACCCGGCCTACTCCATCCACGTGACTCTGGGGAGGGGGATCGTGTAGGGCGGGTCTGGAGAACCGGGCTGCATCATTCTGGCCCCTGCACCCCTCCCTTTCTCTGTCCATTGGGAGGCAGAAGACAGGAAATGACTGCCATGGATGTGGTATGATTTCTACCGAAACAGCATTTTGTAGCCCAGGCCCCATGCGGTCACAGTTGTTTTCTTCTCTGCTACCAGCCAGGTGGCCCTCTCTTCTCACCCCTCCACATAGCCTCAGCCCTCTGATCCTCTGCTCCTGGCTGCCGGCCACATTCCACTCCCGGCTCCCAACCCAGGCATCCTGGCCTCCAGATGAAACAGCTGCTGTGCCTCCTGCCCCCCATCCCTGGCCCCGTGACTCAGGCTCTCTGAAGGGACCGGCCCCGCTTCTTGGCATTCACCGGGAAAGGGGGGGGCAGGGGAGGGGGCCTAGGTGGTGACATCATAGTGGAAGGGTATAAAAGCTTCGAGCCAAAACAGAATTGAAATTGAAGACACTGACTTCGAGTCTGTGCTCCCGGGGTCGCCCCGGCCGCACCCCCACAGACCTCTGGTTGGAGATTTGCACCACTGCGAGACCTCCCCACTGGTGAGGGGCTGCTGGGGGCCAGGGAAGGGGAGGGGTGGGAAAGAGGGGGCAGCCAGGGACTGGAGTTCCTTCGACAGGTGGGGAGGATTCCAGGGTCCTTAAGTTTCCCCCTTCTATTCCATCCCTTCTTTCTCTTTTCTGTGCGCTTTGGGGTTTTTGCGTGTGTCGCTGACTGATAATTGTTTTACTGAGATCTTTTCTTTGGGTGGCAGCTGGGAATTATTCCACCTTTCTTCCCCAGGCTGAGTAAATCATTTCCTCTTCTTTTCCCCTCCAGCACTTTGCTTATTCATTAACTGTTTCTGGGATTTCACCATTGCCGGTCACACACCCATCTCTCGGGGCAGCCCACTTTTGTCCCCCCCCACCCCCGGCCCTCCGAAACCAAGTCCATAGGCTGTTCAGAAGTTGGTTGACAAATAAGTGTGTCCACCCCCTTTCCTCCTCTTTCCTCTTCTCTTCTTGGCCCCCAGCTCTGTGTCCCTGTCCCCAGAGGTTTTGTGGAGGGAGGGGGCCTCGAAGGCATGGGGTCTGGACAGCCTTTTCCTCTTCACCTCCTTCCCTTCCAGACCCCATGCTGGGCTCTCCCTGCCTTCTGTGGCTCCTGGCTGTCACCTCCTCCTTAGTGCCCAGAACTCGGCCCTTGGCCCCTCAAGACCTTACGGAAGAGGAGGAAGATGAGACCTCACGGCCACCTCTGCCGGCTGTCCTCTGCGACTACGACAGTTGCCGCCACCTGCAGGTGCCATGCCAGGAGCTGCAGAGGGCTGGGCCGGGGGCCTGCCTGTGCCCCGGGCTCTCCAGCCCTGCCCAGCCTCCGGCCCCGCCGCGCCTGGGAGAGGTGCACGTGGTGGCCGAGGCCGGCAGCGCGCTGGTGCGCTGGTGTGCGCCCCCCTCCCCGGTCCACCAGTACTGGCTGCTGCTTTGGGAAGGCGGTGGGGCTACCCAGAAGGGCCCCCCGCTCAACGCCACGGTCCGCAGAGCAGAACTGAAGGGACTGAAGCCTGGGGGCACTTACGTCGTTTGCGTGGTGGCTGCCAACGGGGCTGGAGAAAGCAGCGTGCCGGGGGCAGGTGGGGAGGGCCTCGAGGGGGTGGGTGGCCCTGCTTTCGGGCCCTGCGGCAGGCTGGCCGTGCCCCCCAGGCCCGTTACCCTGGTCCACACGGCCGTAGGGGTGGGCACGGTGCTGGCCCTGCTGACCTGCTCTGCTCTGGTCTGGCACTTCTGCCTGCGCGAGCGCTGGGGCTGCCCCCACCGGCCGGCCTCCCCACCAAGAGCAGGGCTCTGAAGCAGCCTGGGCGCCTCTCGGGCCCAGCTGAGCCCAGGCTTGCAGAGGAGAGCTCGGCCCGGACTCCCCTGGGCAGCCCGGGCGCCGGAGTAGAAGGCCAGGCGCCTGGGGCCCCAGCTGAGTCTCGGTGCTCAGGCCCTCGGGCTTGTTCAGGTCCCAAACTTTCCGTCTTGCTCCAGGCTGAAAGGAACGGAGGGGGGTTGGCAACCTTGTCCTTAAAGGACCAGAGAGAAAATAACGTAGGCTTTGCAGTTCCAGAGGATAAAATCAAAGATAATATGTAGGTGCTTCTATGGCCATGTAACCATGTAAAAACGTAGCAACCATTCTTAGCTCATGGGCCTTTTCTTTTCAAATCAGGCCCCGGCCATACTAGGCCTGTTGGCTGTAGTTAGCTGATCCCAATCCCTGTCACAGACCCTCAAAAGGGCCCTGTCACATTGGTGGCTTCGGTGGGATTTTTGAGAACAAATTGCTTCGGGCTGGGAGCTTGGGGAAAGACCACTCCCTCTTTTACCTTTCATTTCGATATTGAAGATGGGCACACCTGAGTCGGAACCCACCTGTGTCTGATGTGGGTGAAGATGAATGACTGACACGGGGTGGAGAACCAGGGACTGCCTAAACTGCTGTCTGGGGCATTTCCCAAGTCCAAGGATGTCCCCCACTTTCCCTCAGTCTGTGTCTATCGTATAGTCACTGTACCAACATTAAAGGAAATATAAAATGAAGCTATTTTCATTTTTCCTGACCCTTTTAATTTCCCTGTCCACACACCTATTTCTCAGAGTACTGTATACTTTTAAATTTATCTTTAACTGGATATGGGGCGCCCGAGTGGCTCAGTTGATTGTGTCAGACTCTTGGTTTTGGCCCAGGTCATGATCTCAGGGTCGTGAAATCGAGCCCTGCCTCAGGCTCCGAGCTGGGTGTGGAGCCTTCTTGAGATTCTTTCTCCCTCTTCCCCCCCCCCCCCCCCCGGCCCCGGCCAAGTAAATAAATAAAACCTTTAAAAAATAAAAAATAAATCAACTGGATGTAGAAAAGTCTGAGTTGCTACAGAGTATAATCCTCATTTATGCTGGTCCTACAATTTTTTTTTTTTTAAGATTTTATTTATTTATTTGACAGAGACACAGCAAGAGAGGGAACACAAGCAGGGCGAGTGGGAGAGGGAGAAGCAGGCCTCCCGCTGAGCAGGGAGCCCGATGCGGGGCTCGATTCCAGGACCCTGGGATCATGACCTGCACCGAAGGCAGACGCTTAACAACTGAGCCACCCAGGCGCCCCTGGTCCTACAACTTTTAATTATAGAACTAACATTTATACAAATTTCAAATACTGCTGAAGAATACAAAAGAAAGTTCCTCTTTTTCTCAAGAGGTAATTATCCCTAGTAGAGCAGATTTTTATTCAATGTCGATATTTTCTTTGTTCACTCAATAGATGATGGACAACATTCCATGTTGGCAAATCATAGCCTCCTTGGTTATGTTAAAGGCTGCGCAACTTTCCATAGAAGGATGCTCCTTGACCGATAGAAGCCATCGCTCTTTACTGGAACATTTGTCTTCAGTGTTTGCTATGGGCATCTTTATGTAGCCTCACATTTGTGTATTTCTGTAGGGTGCTTACCTGAAAGTAGATGAAAGATGCAGTATGGGACACCTGGGTGGTTCAGTCAGTTAAGCGTCCACCTTCGGCTCAGGTCATGATCTCAGGGTCCTGGGATCGAGCCCCGCATCGGGCTCCCTGCTCAGCGGGAAACCTGCCTCTCCCTCTCCCTCTGCTCTTCTCCCCTGCTGTTTTCCCACTGTCTCTCTCAAAACGAATACATAAAAAGTCTTAAAAAAAAAAAAACGCGGTACCATACAATTAATGATTTTTTTTAATCATTGGATCTCAGGATAAATGAGGTGTGTTAGAACTAACACACTAAGAACTAAGTGTGTTAGAACACTTAACCTAACACACCACACTGTAGTGAATGCTGTGTCCCTGTTTTATTTGCTTCCCGTATTTCCTCAACATTTATTCATTTACAAATGAGGGCCCAATCTCATTATTCAAGACATGCTTTGCATGCATTCTCATTTACTCTTCACAGTCTTTCCAAGAGATAGAATCACTTGGGAGGAGATGAGAAATTTGAAGCTCTAAATGGTTTGAAGCTACAAGTAAGGAGTTGAGTTAGGATGCCCAACTCCAAAGTAGATGTTCTTCACTCCACTATGGAGAGGCAACATAGCATGGTGGTTTGGTGAATGCATACCGCATGGGTGTGGATCCTAGCTTGGCTACTTACCAGCTTTGTGACCTTAGGTAAATTATCTCCTTTTTCTGTTTCCTATGACTAATAATAGTATAATCGTATAGATTGTTGTGATGATTGAATAGGCATTAATCACATAAGTCTCCAGTGGAGCTGGGAGGTGGAAGGGGGTGGTCAAAGCAGGATTCCCTTAGAAAGGAAACCTGGGGTCCAGTCTCAAAAATGACTGGGAGTTAACCAATCCCACAGAAGAGGCCGGACATCCCAGGCAGAGGGACTGGTAGGTGCAAAGGCCTGGAAGAGCAAGAGGGCCTGTTTTGCAACATGCACAAGTTAGCAGCAAGTGGTGGGAGATGACACTGCGCACCACCATGCACAAGTTAGCAGCAAGTGGTGGGAGATGACACTGCGCACCACCATTTACAAGGTACAGTCTTACCAGGCACCGAAGGCAAGTGCTTACTGTTACTCTCACTTTTACAGAGAGGGCTCTAAACAAACAACAACAACAACAAATAAAACGGAGGAAGCCAGACTACTAGCACTTAAATTTCACCCTAAGTGATTGGGGCGTTATGGAGAATTTTTAAGCAGGGAGGTGATGACAGGATCAGATAATTGTGTTCTGCAAAAATCCCTTCGGCAGTGGGGCGGAGGATGGCTCAATTCCCCGGAGAGGATGAGCAGGTCAAAGACCACGCACATTTCTATGGCTCCTGATCAACACTGCCAGAGAACATTCCAATTGCTTGCGCTCAGGGACCCCATCGAGAGCTTGCTACATTCCGCCCACGGGCTTCAGGGCCGCACCACCCTTCTTCCCCACCGCCGCCGGGCGGCCCAGCTTCGGGGGCGCCTCCGGGTCCGCGACTCCGACGCGCCACCGCCCACCCCCGCGGGCGCCGGGCCCACGCGGCGGGCCAGGCCTGTGTTTTCTGGCTCTCGGCGGCACCCGTCCACGCCCGCCTCCACGTGACCCAAACAGATCCGGGCACTTCCGCTTCCCCTGGGCTTTCTTCTCGTCAGTGTCGGCTGCGGGTCCGGCGCCGGGTGAGTGAGAGAGCGCCCGGCTGGGGCGTCGGGGGCGGGACCGCGCGCGGCCCGGGGGCACCCCGCGCTGACCCCCGCCCCTGCGCCCTCCTTCTCGCCCTCCCCCAGGTCCCCGCGGAAGCGGCGGTGGCGGCGCCATGGCGGAGCTGACGGCTCTGGAGAGTCTCATCGAGATGGGCTTCCCCAGGGGACGCGCGTAAGGCAGCCCCCCAAACCCTGGCCCGCGGGGATCGCGGGCCTGTCTGGCCTTTCCCCCAGCCTGGCCTCAGGCTCCACGCCCCAGCCTGACCAGCACCATGGCTCGCGGGCGCTATTCACGGTGTTTCTGCCCCCAGGGAGAAGGCTCTGGCCCTCACAGGGAACCAGGGCATCGAGGCTGCAATGGACTGGTGAGCGCTCAGACCGGGTGGCAGGGGCCTGGGGGGCTGCTGGGAGGGGCAGCGTCAGTGTTAAGCTCCCTCCCGACTTTCCCTGCCAGGTTGATGGAGCACGAAGACGACCCTGATGTAGACGAGCCGCTCGCGACCCCCCTCGGACATGTCCTGGGAAGGGAACCCACCTCCTCGGAGCAAGGTGGCCCTGAAGGTCCTGACTGAGGGACAGTGTGATTATTCACGTGCGCTCGAGGAGGATGAACGGGCAATAATACTGATTGCTTGTTTGTAGGACCCGGCTCTGCGGCCGGAGAAGGCAAACCGACTTTGAGTGAAGAGGAGAGACAGGAACAGACTAAGAGGTATAGTAAGGAACAGTGTCACGTTTCTGAGGGTCACCTTCCACCTGTCCACAGTACACAAGTCTGATTAAAGAGCCTGGATCTTAACACTTTCTCTCTGTCCTGCCTTGGCAGTTTCCTTTCTGTTTCTTTCATCTCTCTTTGGACACGTGTTCCCGCATTTCATTTTGTTTTTCATTTTATTTTATTTTTTTTATTTGACAGAGAGAGACACAGTGAGAGAGGGAACACAAGCAGGGGGAGTGGGAGAGGGAGAAGCAGGCTCCCTGTGGAGCAGGGAACCGGATGTGGGGCTCGATTCCAGGACCCTGGGATCATGACCTGAGCTGAAGGCAGACGCTTAATGACTGAGCCACCCAGGCGCCCCTCCCGCATTTCATTTTGAATCCTGGTTATAAACTCACCTTCTCGATCTATGTCCATTTCTTTTGAGCTCCTTCTTTTCTGCAACACAGGATGTTGGAGCTGGTGGCCCAGAAGCAGCGGGAGCGGGAAGAAAGAGAGGAGCGAGAGGCTTTGGAACGGGAACGGCAGCGCAGGAAACAAGGGCAGGAGTTGTCAGCTGCTCGACAGCGGCTTCAGGAAGATGAGATGCGCCGGGCTGCTGAGGAACGGAGGAGGGAAAAGGCTGAAGAGTTAGCAGCCAGGTCTGGGTGATGGGGATGTTGGATAATAGAGGAGGCGGGAAGCTAGGTTTGCTTTGTCAACGTCTGACCTACTTTCTTCCTGTCTGCATTCCAGACAGAGAGTCCGAGAAAAGATTGAAAGAGACAAAGCAGAGAGAGCCAAGAAGGTAGGTGATTGGGAAGACACTGGAGTAAGGAAGTAGGTGGGCTAGTAAAAAAAAAAAAAAAAAAAAAATCCCTTTTCTAGCTTCAGAGGGAAAGGATTGGCATACGATGCTCCTCTCAAGAGTGGGTGAGGGCCTGATCAGTGTTTTCCTTTATCTTCCAGTATGGTGGGAGTGTGGGTTCTCGGCCTTCACCAACAGAGCCAGGTCCTGTTCCCTCCTCTCCCAGCCAGGAGCCTCCTACCAAGCGGGAGTATGACCAGTGTCGCATACAGGTACTGATTCTAATTCCTGTCTTGCTTCTGGGACCCCTTCGTTGGCCTGTAAGACACCTGGCTCAGAGCTTTATTCAGTTGGGTTCACTTTGCGAAACCTCTTCCTTCTTTGGAAATGACTTTTGAAACCCTATCTCCTCTACTCTTGGAAAGATATCAAATTTCTCTTGCCCTGGTCTTAATTTAAATCCATACCTCCCTTTTACCTCAGCAGTTACCTTTTTAGTTGTTCATGTTTTCATTTAGTTTATTACACAGCTATTTGCATGATGGGGTATTTAGGTATTTTTGTTACGATCTTATCCTTGTGTTTGTTAAAATGTGAGGAAGCTGGAGCCTCTCTTCACTGCTTAGTAAAGCAGAGAAGAAGTGGTTGTTCATCAGGGTGCTTCAGATAGTAATTACGCTGGTTCAGTCTCTCGAACAGGAAACAGAAGCCAACTTTGCAGCTCTTGTTTTCCTTACTTGGGCACCTCCTCAAGTTTGATGCTCCCAACACCGTATTTCTCGCTCGCCCTCCAGGTCAGGCTGCCAGATGGGACCTCACTGACGCAGACGTTCCGGGCTCGGGAACAGTTGGCAGCTGTGAGGCTGTATGTGGAGCTCCACCGTGGGGAAGAGCCTGGGGGAGACCAGGACCCTGTGCAGTTGCTCAGTGGCTTCCCCCGACGGGCCTTCTCAGAGGCTGACATGGAACGGCCTCTGCAGGAGCTGGGTATGACACCTGGGACCAGAAACAGGGCTTGCAGGGGTGAGGGGGATGCCTGAGAAAGGAAGGAATGCCAGGAGAAGAGACTTTGTGGAGATGGAATGAGGCCAGAAATTTGGGGGCGCAAAAGGCAAGGATCTTTGTGGTCAAAGCTGTTTTCTTCCATCTTAGGACTTGTGCCTTCTGCTGTCCTCATTGTGGCCAAGAAATGTCCCAGCTGAGAGGCCTTTATCCCACCATCCCTCTCTGACCTCTTCATCTTTGATAAAGCACTGACATCTCCTTCCTAATAAATAGACCCTCTGAGTTCTGTATGTGCCTGACTCCTTCCTGAATGGCTGGGAGGGACAAAACTGAGGCAGGGGAAGAGGCCAAAGGGAAGGCATTTAGGATAGGCCCTATTTTTCATTTTAAGTTTCTTTTTTTTTTTTAAGATTTTTTTTTCAGATGTTTTTCTCTTTTTTTTAAAGATTTTATTTTTGCAAGAGAGAGGAGAGAGAGAGAGAGAATGAGTCTGGGGGAGCGGGGGGTGGGAGGCGGAGAGAGAAGTGGGCAGTCCGATGAGGGACTCGATCCTAGGACCCTGGATCACGACCTGAGCCGAAGGCAGACGCTTAACCGACTAAGCCACCCAGGCACCTCTAAAAGGGTAATTTTTTTAATGTAGCCATTCACAAATGGCCAGGGGAGCATTGCAGTGACCTTTACAACTGCATTTCCTCTTCACTAAAAAGTATTGAGTACTTAATATGCGCCACACAGTTTTAACTGCTGTATATGTATTTTTTATTTTTATTTTTTTAAAGATTTTATTTATTTATTTGAAGAGAGAGACACAGCGAGAGAGGGAACACAAGCAGGGGGAGTGGCAGAGGGAGAAGCAGGCTTCCCGCTGAGCAGGGAGCCCGATGCGGGGCTCGATCCCAGGACCCTGGGATCACGACCTGAGCCGAAGGCAGACGCTTAACGACTGAGCCACCCAGGCGCCCCTGCTCTATATGTATTAACTGAGGTAAGAAGGCAATTATCTGGGAATAAGTACAAGTATCCCATTTTAGAGATTGGGACACGAAAGCACATGGCTTGTTGAAACCAACACAGGTAACCAACAGTAGAACCTGGACACACCTGGGGAAGTCCCGACTCTAGGGCTCAGGCTCTCAACCTCCAAGCTCCTGTATCGTAGCCCCTCACTGTTGCTGATCACCTCACCCTAATGTTCCCTCAAAGAGCTGCTAACCTTTTCCCTGTCATTCCCAGGCTAGGAAAAAGGCCACAAACCAAAGATCACACATAACAAATGTGTTTGGCTTAGGGCTTCACCATCCAGCAGCTGAAAACAGCACCAATGCTCCCATCTGGGTTTACACCTCCGTGTTACCAAGCTGTATTTACTGTTCTGGCTTTATTTAAATAAAAGCAGGCTTTTTTTTTTTTCCTTCAACTGAAATCTGGCTTGGAACCACAGGATGTAAAATAGACAACAGGGGGCACCTGGGTGGCTCGGTTGGTTAAGGGTCCCACTCTTGGTTTCTGCTCAGGTAATGATATCGGCCTTGTGAGACTGAGCCCCCCTCCTCCCACCATCTGCACTGAGCAGAGAGTCTGCTTATGACTCCCTCTCTTCCTCCCCACCAGGGTCTCTCAAATCTTTTTTTTTTCTTAATTAAAGATTTTATTTATCAGAGAGAGAGCACAAGCAGGGGGAGCAGCAAGCAGAGGGAGAAGCCAGCTCCTTGCCAAGCAAGGAGCCCAATGCAGAGCTCCATCCCAGGACCCCGGGATCATGACCTGAGCTGAAGGCAGGCACTTAACCCAGCCACCCAGGCATCCCTCAAATAAATTAAAAAAAAAAAAAAAACACAACAGGGAGTGAATTGGTTGACTTGGATGTGGGGTGTGACCCAAATGCCAGCTTTATTTCATTACTTCAGTGGCATCTACAAGAGATCCCATGACTGGATTCTGAGATTGTGAACTACTACCTTGAAATCCCTTGGAAGGGGAGACCATCCCCTACATTTATTGAAGGGCTGCTCTGTGCCAAGCAATACACTTTACATTTCCAAGTTAGTCTTTTTACAACAACCTTCAAGATAATTACACCTTTTATGGAACAGGACTGAGGCTCAGAGAGGTTTTGTAATATGCAGGACTTTAATCAAGATCTGTCTGACTCAAAGCACGCTCCTTTCACTCCTAGCAAATTGGCCTCCAACGGTCCAGTATCCCCAGAAAGCATCATGGCACATGCTAAATGCTAGCAGCCCCTCTCCAACCTCACTCAAAGAACAGGAAACCCAAAGCGTCCTCCATGGGCATCTATTGCTACAAGATTTTCCAGGATAGTTTTGATTTCGAGAATGTCGCCTGGTTATCACCAAAAGTACACTCAAAACAGACCACATGCCCTGACTTGTGTTTTGAAAATGTGGTCGCTGCTGGGCAGTGGGAGCCACAGTCTTCCGCGTTCCCTGCACGGATCCCGAGAACACTCTAGACATAGGCGTCAGACCGCAGGGCTCACTGGACGGAGGAACGTGATTTATTGGCTCCTTCAGTTCTCACATCCGACGCCCCGGCCCGCGACGTAGGACGTGAAAGCGCAGTCAGTGCAGCGTCTGTGGGTGGAGGGGGAACGTGTTCACCCCGCAGCGGCTCCCAGGGCCTCAGGGCGGCCTGGGCGCGGCATCCCGGGTCCGGACTCCCTACCCGGCCTACGACGGAGAAGCCGCGTCGGACTTCTGCGCGGGAGCAAGGTCCCAGCGCCCACGAGGGAGGTCCGGGCTCACGCTGACCTCCCGCCGCCGCCGACCTTCCAGTTCTTCCTCCAGGCCACGTTCTCCTGCGTGGCCGCTGCCTCCTGCAGAGTGGCCAGCACTAACTCTTTGGTCCTCGCCGCCTCGTCCCTGCGCCGCGGGTCCTGCTCGGGCATCTCCTGCGAGCAGGAAGGGAGGTTCGTAGTCCTGACCGCCCCCCACCCACCCAAGCCAGGGGCTCTCCGTCCGCCCACCCCACCTCGCACCCCCAGTTACTCCCACCTTCAGCATCGCCTGCTTCTGCTGCTCTCCCGGGGTCACGAGGACAAAGAGCGCGGAGCCCACGCCAGCCCCCGCGCCCAGGAGGGCACCCACGATCAGCGCTTTGCGCAAGGTCTCCATGGCCGACCGCGCGCCCGGCGGGGCGCCCTCTAGAACCTCCCGCAGCTTGGGAAGCCGGCCTCGACGTCTCGCCGCCCCCCGCGCAGGCTAGAGCGGCGCCTAGAGGAAACCATAGAGAAGGGGCCCGGCTAGAGAGGGCCTGATCGGCCAAGCCCTCCGAATCTGGAGCGCCTGCGTCTTAAACGACCGGGTCTGGCTGGGAAGGTTGAGCGCGACCCGAAGTGTTGGCCGCGAGGGCCGAGCCCCGGACCCACTGTCAGGAAATTCCAAGTGGGATTGCTAAGGGGAGCGTGCGTGTCAGCCTGGTTGCTGTGGGTTTTGCAGTTGCCCAGTTCCGAAATCTGCTAGGACTGTGCTCAGTAGTTTCCTACAATGATTTGTGCTTTTTCAGTACAGCACATACTGGACATCCAGATGCTTACACACATCAATCTACTGACCCCCTCCAAATTCCCTCAATTTATGAACAAAAACTCAAAGCCAAGTGTACTGGGTGAGGAAAAAGGTATATATATATATATATATTTTTTTTTTTTTTACTTTTTAAAAGATTTTAAGTAACCGCCACACCCAATGTGGGGCTCGAACTCAGGACCCCGAGATCATGAGTCGCAGGCTCTACCGACGGAGCCAGCCAGGCACCCTATTTTACTTGTTAAATAAACGTGTTGAAAGTAAGTTTGTTGGGGACGCCTGGGTGGTTCAGTCGGTTAAGCGTCTGCCTTTGGCTCAAGTCATGATCTCAGGCTTCTGGGATGGAGCCCCACTTGGGTCTCCCTGCTCAACTGGGGTCGGCTTCTCCCTCTCCCTCTGCCCCTCCCCACTGCGCGTGCTCTCTCAAGTAAATAAAAAACCATTTTTTTCTAAAGATTTTATTTATTTGACAGAGAGAGACACAGCGAGAGAGGGAACACAAGCAGGGGGAGTGGGAGAGGGAGAAGCAGGCTTCTCGCCGAGCAGGGAGCCCGACGCGGGACCCGATTCCAGGACCCTGGGATCATGACCTGAGCCGAAGGCAGACGCCCAACAACTGAGCCACCCAGGTGCCAATAAATAAAATCTTTTTTAAAAAGGGCGCCTGGGTGGCTCAGTTGGTTAAGCGACTGCCTTCGGCTCAGGTCATGGTCCTGGAGTCCCAGGATCGAGTCCCGCATCGGGCTCCCTGCTCGGCAGGGAGTCTGCTTCTCCCTCTGGCCCTCCCCCCTCTCATGTGCTCTCTCTCATTCTCTCTCTCTCAAATAAATAAATAAAATCTTTAAAATAAAAATAAAAACAAAAAAAGATTAAAAAAAAATCTTTTAAAAAAAGAAAGTAGGGGCGCCTGGGTGGCTCAGTCGTTAAGCATCTGCCTTCGGCTCAGGTCATGATCCTGGGGTCCTGGGATCGAGCCCCGCATCGGGCTCCGTGCTCGGCGGGAAGCCTGCTTCTCCCTCTCCCACTCGCCCTGCTTGTGTTCCCTCTCTCGCTGTATCTCTGTCAAATAAATAAATAAAATCTTAAAAAAATAATAATAAAAAATTAAAAAAGAAAGTAAATTTGTTGTTTTTCTCATCATGGTATACCCTTGCACCCCCCACCCCCTGCCAATGAAAACTCTGAATTTGGAGTAACATACTGAATTCTAGTTTGGAGAAGAAAGCACCTTTTAGTTGGGTATCTCTGGGCAAGTCATTTAAGTTCTTTGTGCCCACCCAGGGGGATCTGGATCAGGAAATAGGGCTAATGACAGTATCTATCTCATAATTATAGAATAATTAAATGAGTTTATATATAAAGCATTTAAAACAGTTCCTGGCAAATAGTTAACACCATATGAATATTCGTTAAATAAGACACAAAGAAACATGTCAAATTAGGAGACCCAGTAAGCAAAGGAATCAGGAAATTCTAAGTTTGTTAGCAAAGCTCTTCACTCACAAGGCTTTCAACCAGATGCCCTTGTTGAATCTTATCCCTCATGCCTTTCCCAGTGTCACCCAGGGAGTGAGGAGACATAAAGCTCCTATTCCACCTCTTGGGATTTTCCCCTCCCCTGGAAGGCCCATAATCTCCTAGCTTGTCATTCTCTTCTCAGAAGTGATTAAGGGGCCAGGCTCCAAAGATTAAAGGAGCAGTCTGTGGAGGGTACTGAGCAGGGGTACTCCACTTTGAGTTCAACCACTCTGTACTCTAAGAATTAGCACCCATGGCCCTTGTGCCAGGGAGCAGTGAGGATGGCCCTTGGCATAGAGATAGCCCAGGCTCCTCCCAGCACCTGGAAAGTCCTCAGCTGACCAACCCTCTGTGGATGGACGGAGGAGAAATTGTCAGGGTTGAAGGCCACCAGGATGTTCAGGTTAGTACTTCTCCACCCTGTGTCCAGCTGCTGGCTCATCCTCCAACTTGGCCCAAGCACCCTGCTATCCCGATTCAGGTTGTCTCTCAAAAGACCCACCTGCCCTCCATTGTGGTGGAAGCCTCTGAGGTGAGTGAAGACAGCGGGGAGCTTGGTTGGCCGCATGAGGAACTGCTGCTGCTCACCGATGAGGAAGAGGAGGCCGAGGTGTTCTTCCAGGACCAAAGTGAAGAGCCAGGTGAGGGAGGCAGCTGCTTCAGCGGGGCCGTTGTGACCTGGGTGTTCTGGGCAGGACTGAGATAGGAACCTCAGCTGTGTCCCCCGCACCAAGCAATACAAGCATACAGTAGGTGCTTAGTAAATGTAGTGGGGAAAAAAGTAGAGGTGGAGAGAAAAGTCAAGGTGTCTGGCAAAGTTGAACTTCAGAGGGAAGTTCAGAGGTCAGATGGGTCTGAGGGTGATGCCTTTTAATTATTCTTAATGTTTTAAAATATTCACATTGTTTGGGGAGCCTGGGTGGCTCAGCTGGTTAAGCGTCTGCCTTCAGCTCATGATCCCAGGATCCTGGGATCGAGTTCTGCATCGGGCTCCTTACTCAGTGGGGAGCCTGCTTCTCCCCCTGCCTGCCGCTCCCCCTGCTTGTGCTTGCTCTCTCCCTCTGTGTGTGTGTGTGTGTCAAATAAAATCTTTAAAAAAAAAATTCACATTGTTGTGGGGGAAAAAAGGTAATAAAATCATCCCAAATCAACTACCCAGAGATAAGTTACATTTTGGATGCCTTTTCTTCCAGACTTTTCTTCCCCATGTCTGATACTGTTCTAGAAGCTTATATATTAGCATTTACAGTGTGCTAAATGCTTTTATCTCATGATTTTCAGAACCCAGTGAGGGAGATCCTTTCATCCCTCATGAGGAAACAGGCTGTGAAATTAGCCTTTTTTTTTTTTTTTAAAGATTTTATTTATTTGTCAGAGAGTGAGAGAAAGAGCACAAGCAGAGGGAGCGGAAGGCAGAGGGAAAAGCAGGCTCTCTGCTGAGCAAGGAGTCCGATGTGCGGCTTGATCCCAGGACCCTGGGATCATGACCTGAGCCCAAGGCCGACGCTTAACGGACTGAGCCACCCAGGCGTCTCAAAGTGCCTTTTTTTAAAAAAAGATTTTTTATTTTATTTAGTTGACAGAGAGAGAGCACAAGCAGGGGGGATGGCAGAGGGAGAGGGAGAAGCAGACTCCCAGAAGCATCAGGGAGCCCGATGTGGGGCTCAATCCCAGGATCCTGGGACCATGACCTGAGCCAGATGCTTAAGGGACTGAGCCACCCAGGCACCCCTGAAATTAGCCTCTTAATTATAATTGCTGTATTTCTTTTTTCAATAAGAAAAAAATACACAAATTTGTTTCATCTTTTAAAAAGTCAGTAATAGATCAGGAATACTTTTCATTCTTTTTTTTTTTTTAAAGATTTTATTTATTTATTTGAGACAGAGAGCACATGAGAGGGGGGAGGGTCAGAGGGAGAAGCAGGCTCCCCGCTGAGCAGGGAGCCCGATGCGGGACTCGATCCGGGGACTCCAGGATCATGACCTGAGCCGAAGGCAGCTGCTCAACCAACTGAGCCACCCAGGCGCCCCAGGAATACTTTTCATTCTTAATGGGCTCTTCAACTCCTCTCTCCCCCAGGCTGGACTTGGAGCCCACTGGACCCCAGATCTCCCTTAAGAACCTTTAACCCAGAATTCAGCTGGGGGCAGGAACAGGGAGAACAAGAGGTCTCCTGGATTCCTGAGGATACAGAGTATCAGGAAGCCTCCAACCCCTGTTCTCTCTGGAACCCAGCAGCCAGCTCCCGTGTTTGTAGAAGCTGCTTTGTGGAATATTCACATCTCCTGCCTCCCAGGAGCTTTGAGGGTAAGTATTGTTCTGTCTCCCTTCACATTTCAGTGGTTTGTTATGAGGCCCTTCTATCGGTTCTTTCAGTCTTCTCCTTTTACAGGTGAGGACAAGAGGCTTAGGGGTGAGGCCACTGGCTCACACAAGTCAGTCAGTACTGGAATTTGGATTAAGAACCCCTCCATTAAAAAACTCCTCCAACAGGGGCACCTGGGTGGCTCAGTCGGTTAAGCACCCAACTCTTGGTTTTGGCTCAGGCCATGATCTCAGGGAGGAGCCCTGATTTGGGCTCCGCACTGCGCATGGAAATTGCTTGGGATTCTCCCTCTGCCTCTGCCCCTCCCCCTGCTCGCTCACTCTAGAATAAATAAATCTAAAAACAAACAGACAAATCCCTAAACTCCTCAAACAAACAAACAAAAAACCCCACAGAACTCCTGTGTTTTTAGGAGTTCCAGTTCGTTGGGGCTGGGGAATGAGCCACTGCACCTTCTCTACTCAGCACTCCGTCTTGTGCCTGGCATTGCTAAATGCTCCACGTTTCACCTATCATCATATGTAATCCCCTAACTCCGGGTATTATTCCTCCTTGCTGCCAGAGCATGAACTGGGGCACAGAAACATTCAATACTCTATGCTCCCAGCTAATAAATGTGGAGGCCAGGCCTCAAAATCCTTGCTTCCCAGCCATCTTACAAAGTTGAAAAGCTACCCAACAGGAAAATTCGGGTCAGGACTGAAGTCTTTAATGAGAGCCTTGAACCAAGTAAGCAAAGTAGGTGATGCCCCCGAAAGGGCCTAACTCCTGCACAGTCACAGTCCAGCCTGGGGACCCTTGCTCCAGGCAGGGCAGCCGCACATCAGGGTCCTCATCTGAGAACTGAATCAGGGTCCCCTGGGGGCTTAGGACCCTGAGGCACTCTGACAGAAGCTGGTAAGCCCTGGGCAGACCACCTCGGGAAATAGCATCCCAGGTGCCCTTATCCAGCACTAGCTGGAAGGAGCCTGAGGAAGCCACTGGCTCCAGGTTCTGGGCATCAGCCTTTATGAAGTGGAGTCGGGAAGCAGGATGCCCAGGACAGAGGGGTGTTTGACCTTGACCACCTTCCAGGAGACTCTTCATGTGGGCAACAGCCACAGGAGAGAAGTCCACCCCTAGCACATCCACGGGATGTGGGCACTTGGTGTAGAGGCCTGTACACAGGCTGGAGGTCCCACAGCCCACGTCCAACACCCTCGGTGGGCAGGCAGCCCCTGCCTCCTGCAGCAGCGGAAGTAGCAACCCCTGAGCTTCCTCATACCCAAAGAACCAGTCGAACGTGGGGACGCTGCCCCTACGGGCATCGGCATGGAGCTTATCCCAGAGGCGACGGTCGGCCAGGCAGCTACCAGCCAGGGAGCCTGTGGACACGAGTGGAGTACGTGTGTCACCCAGCGCCCAAGTTCCATCAAAATGCTGCAGAAACGGTGCTATGTACCCTGGGGTTTGAAGAATCACAATTTCAGGGACTAGACTCCCAGGTCACTAAGAACCCTCCCTCCCACTCTGTCCACCTTCCCTACCCGCCAAAGCGCGGCGCGCCCCAGCCGCCAGGGTCGCCACGTGGAGGGTTCGGCGCAGCGCGGCCATCTGGAAATCCCGGCAAGGTCGGCCAGAGAACCTTCTGCGAAATGTCGCCCGCACTCCCGCAGGAGCCTGAGGTCCAAGAGAAAAGCTGCAAATTCCGCTTTGTGGAATAATGCTTACAGCCTCCCTAACAACCACCTCGGAAAAAAGAACGCGGACACACACCTACTAGGGTAGGAACGGCCTTTATTGTTTGCAACGGGCAGTGAAAGAGGAGGGGACACGACAGCTCCGGCTCCAGGGACGGTCCCAAGGACCTGAAATCAAAGGAGAAGGCTAAATTAGCACACCAGAGAGGAGCCTGCAGAACCTTGGTTCCGTCACGCTTCTCGGAGCCCGTGTCCCGGCGTTTGAGGATAGAACCGGCGGACTAGAAGCCGCGGGCACCGAAGACATGACGCCGAGGGGGCCGGAGCCCTTTCCCTCTGCCTCCGTACATTACGGGGACCGGGACCGCACACCCGACCGCCGCCAAGAAAAGGAGGGTGCGCAGGCCGCGCCCAGAACCCCCACCCTCGCACCCAGCTCCGGAACCGAACCACGTACCTCCCCGAACGCCGTCCCGCGAAAGACACGTAACGCCGCCGAGCGCCTTTATATAGCCCTCAGGACCCGCCCCCGAGCTGCGATTGGCTCGCGAAGGCTGAGGGGCGGGGCCGGCACTGACGCTGCGCAGAGCCAAGACGCGGTGGTGGAGCCAACATGGGCGCTCCCGGCGGAAAGATCAACCGGCCGCGAACGGTGACTGTGTGGGCGCCCCGACTTTGTTTCCCCATGCGTCCTGGAGCCCTCTAATCTCGCCAGAGATGGGAATCTATGGGCTGGAGTCGCCGGGTGCGGGGTCCCGGGTCGCGGCTTCCGTCTGATTAGCATCTTCCTCCCCCTTAGGAGCTGAAGAAGAAGCTGTTCAAGCGACGGCGGGTGTTGAGCCGGGAGAGGCGACTGAAGCGCCGGGTGATCGGGGCTGTGATAGACGAAGGGCTGATCACGCGGCACCACCTGAAGAAGCGGGCGTGAGTGCCAGACCCTCTTCGCTTTGCTCCTCCCCACCGAGTCCCCTTTCTCCTTCCTGCCGAGCTTCACCGCAAGTATCCCCTCTGCTTTCCGTGCGCGGTGACTTTTATATAAGCAGCGTTTGTGTCTACACTTCGCTATCCTGTCACAGGACCGGTAGCTCACAACCTCTCTGGGTCTTGGACCCCACTGAGAATGTAAGAACTGTCGACTCACCCACCTCCCCAAGTACCATTGTACGTCCACACAGATTTTTATAAATAAATTTAAAGCACACACAGGACGCCTGGGTGGCTCAGTCGGTTAAGCGTTTGCCTTCACCTCAGGTCATGATCCCAGGGTCCTGGAATCGAGTCCTGTATCCGGCTCCTGGGATCAAGTCCTGCTCCATGCGAGAGAGCATGGGGTGGGGGGAGAGTCAGAGGGACTCCCCCAGAGACCTTTTCAATAGCCAGAATCAACCTACCTTGGTTCAGGTTAAACTAGGTATCTTTGCTCCTACCGACCCTTCAGGTCCAGTGCACGTGCCAACATTACTCTCTCTGGGAAGAAGCGCAGAAAGCTCCTCCAGCAGATCCGGCTGGCCCAGAAAGAGAAAGCAGCCATGGAAGGTGAGGCCGGGGCGCAGAGGTGGGGTAAGGGGGCAGCCTGGATTCGTTGGGGTTCTTTAATGCTTCCTCTTTCTTTTTGGTCAGTGGAAGCCCCCACAAGGCCAGTCAGGACTAGTGAACCACGGCCCAAGCGGCAAAAGAAGACAAAAGTCTCCCAGGATGTAGACATGGAGGACCTTGAAGATGATAACTGAATCCTCTCACCCCTTCCACCAGAAGATTCTCAGCTGGAGCCAGAAGGACTCTGGTTGTTTCAGAGGACTTTGGAGAAAGCATTGCCCCTTTTCATTCTCCTCAGACTCCTCTTTCTTGACGCCCTAGTGACCTGCCCCAGAGGGATGTGTTGAGAGGAAGAGGGTGGAGAAAAAAGACTGGAGAATGGGGCTCCCTCGCAGTCAGCTCCACTTTTAATAAAGCCCTAGAGTTCTCACAGAGAGGCATGTGATTTAATGTGGGACCGGGAATGGGCCACGGGAATTGGGCTATGGGTGTGGAAACAAGACAATTAAGACCCGGGAGCTCACTTGAGCTAAGGCAATGAGAAGCCAGGCTCTGTGATGATCCTATCTCCCTAGTGGGTGACACTCCCAACTCTCCATTTCTGACAAAAATTCAGCTTATTGCAGAGATGGTAGAGGAGATAAGGGTCCTGATATCAGCCCTGCCACTGCCTCTGTGTGACCAGAGGGGGCAAGGCACTTTATGTTATGTTTGTCTCCACTTCCTTTGCTGGATTTTATAAATATATAATGTATTTTTAAAGATTTATTTATTTTAGAGAGAGTTTGCAGGGTGGGGGGGCAGAGGGAGAGGGGAAGCCAACTCCCTGCTGAGTTCAGAGCCCTACAGGAGCTCCATCTCACGACCCTGAGATCAACTCTAAGATCATGACCTGAGTGGAAACCAAGAGTTGGGTGCTTAACTGACTGAGCCACCCAGGCACCCCTACTGGATTATATTTTTAATTTTTTTTTTTTAAAGATTTTATTTATTTATTTGACAGAGAGAGACACAGTGAGCAGGAACACAAGCAGGGGGAGCGGGAGAGGGAGAAGCAGGCTTCCCGCAGAGCAGGGAGCCCGATGCGGGGCTCGATCCCAGGACCCTGGGATCATGACCTGAGCCTAAGGCAGACGCTCAACGACTGAGCCACCCAGGTGCCCCTTTAATTTTATTTTAAGTAAGCTCTACGCAGGACTGGAACTCGTGACCCTGAGATCAAGAGGTGCATGCTCTACAAACCGAGCCAGCCAGGCATCCCAGGATTATACTTTTAATAAACTGAAAACCAAGCATTATTTTTCCCATTTAACATTCAGAACTTCTGTTGGATGCGAGGGCTGGGATGTTTAAAGTTAAAAGCTGCCTGTGTGGAGGTGTGTTCAACAGAGGAAAAGCATATTCTGTCTGTCTTGTTTAATCAGTGCAGGCTTCCTGGAAGAGGGAGGGTTTGGGCCCGTGTTGCACCTCCCAGCCCAGCTTCATATTTTGAATTTCAAACCTTCAGTAAAGTTAAGAAATTAGTACAATGAACCTTTACATATGCACTGAAATGCACCAGTTTTTATCATTTTCCTACACTTGTTCTATCTCTATGCACTTGCAAATATGTATGTGTCTGTATTTTTGTCTTTGCTGACTCATCCGAAAGTCAATTGCAGATGAGATTTTACCCCTGAGAACATTCTTCTATATAGCCAAAATACTATTGTCACACCTAACACATTCAACATTGGCTAATACTGAGTTTTTCATATTCTAATTTCCTTAGTTCCAATAATATTCTTTTTTTTTGAAGACTTTATTTTTAAGTAATCTCAACACTCAACATGGGACTCAAATTCATAACCCCAAGATCAAGAGTCAGACATTCCACCGACTGAGCCAGCCAGGTGCCCCAGAAAAGACATTTTTAATATTTTGGTATACCCATTCATAATTTTGTTCTACCCCTGTATCTAAGGCAGAAGGAGCTGGCTGTGTTCAAAGAAGTTTCTGTATCTGGCATTACGCTGAGTCTTTTAAAATGATCTTTGTAAAACATGTGTGAGATAGGAGACATCATACCCATTTTACAGATGAGGAAATGGGCTTCAAACAGTTGGGTCACTGTCTCAGGATTACATTGCTGATAAATAGCAGATATGAATCTAGATCTGTCCAACACCAAAACAAGGCACTTTTAGATTATGAAATCCTTAAGAGCAAAGACCACATAACAGTCTCATTGCTAGAGAACTTATCTGGTTCAAGAGTCCTTTTACAGATCAAAAGTTGAGGCTCTGAGATGGGAAGTGTTGGGTCCAAGTTTGAGGCAGTGTTAGGAGCAGAAATTGTCTCATATTACTGTTCTAGAACAGATTTTGCTAGTAAGTAGTATATACACTTTGTAAGTGATTCAACTTCTAAAATGTAAGAACAAAAAAAGAGCCATAATTAGTCATTTAGCTTTTAAAACACAATCACTTCAAAAGTGTTATTGGAAAATCGACCTCCGTGCTTCAGAGCCAAAATATAGCAGGAAGACCAGAGTTGGGGATAAAGAGGAACAATAGCTTTATTTTTATTTATTTATTTATTTTAAAGATTTTATTCATTTATTTGACAGAGAGAGACA